CATAATACTCTTGCCTCTGGTCGCAGGAGGCCTCCAGCCCATAATATTCCCTTCCACCACCACCCCCCCTTCCCGCCCCGCACCCCTTCCTCCCGCCTCCAGTTGGAGCCGGGCCTCACCAGCCCATAATATTCCCCAGTCTCCTAAGGCTGCTCCAGCCCATAATACTCTCCTGTCTCCTAAGGCCTCGCCATCCCATAATACTGCCAGACGCCTGACCTGTGGGCCAAACCCCAGCCCGTTGCACACATCGAGGCTGTGTCAGCGCCGCCAGCCTCGCTCCGTCCCTCCCTCCCTCCGCCCTCGCGGGCGCTCAGCCTCCCGGGCTCCCGCCCGCCCTCCTGCCCTGGGCCCCTCTCCGGGCCCCACCCTGCGCCTGCCTGGGCCCTGACTTCCCCTCCAGCCTCGCCCTTTCTCCTTCGCCTGGTTCTTCATCCCGGGCCCCTTTCTTTCCCACTCAGGTACTGCCACCCACGCCCCGGCTGTAGGTGCTGAAGCCCAGTGGGGAGAGAGTGCCCCCAGAGGGCAGCCGGCCAGGCCCTGCCCCTGCAAACTGTCTGCTTGACTCGCACCATGGAAACCACCAGCCTGGCCCCAGTCCGCATTGCTGGTGAGGATCCACCTGGGGCCCTCACTGTCTTCCAGAAACCCTTCCCTTGGGCATCACAATGGCATGTTCTTGTGGGAAAGAGCTCCCTTTCGGGGTGCCTCTCGGGTGCCTTTCAAAGGAGAGCTCATTGACCCTCACAGCAACCCAGTGAGTAGGTATTCCGATCCCCATTTCGCAGAGGAGAAAACGGAGGTTCAGAGGCTAAGCCACTGCTAAAGTCACATCGCCAAGAAGTATCAGAGCTGACACGAGTACCTAGGTTTTTCTGATTCCCAAGTTCAGAGAACCTCTGGGACTCTCCAAGACCCCTGTGCGGGACTTCACTTCTCAGTGCGCTCCCTGCTCCCCAGTAAAGGGCAGCGTGTGGAGCGTTACCCAGCCTCTTGTCTCCAGGGTCTCCCCATTCTGCACCACCATCCCATAATAACCACCTCACCTCCTCCTTTCTCCCACAGGACCCCACGTAGCCACCCGTGAGGCTTGCCCTCAAGATGGTTCAGGGCCAATAGAAAGGCACCTAGCCCCTCCGGGTTCCCTTACTTCTCCCTGGTTCTCCTGAATTTTTCATTTCAAGACCAACGATCGCTACTCCCCTAACTCATCTCGCATGCAGTGGACCAGCCTTTGGAGACAGACTTTGTGGAGAACCCAGAGGAGGTCTCTTTCGTTTAGTCGGTAGATCATCAAGAATGCTGCCTTGGAGCTGTTGGGCACCTCCTCACTGGGGAAGGGACCTGCAGCCAAGTGCACAGAGGCTGGGCCATCCTGCTTGAGCGTGCCCCCTCCCCCCCACTGTGTTCTGCGCAGGGGCCGGATGCAAGTGCAGAGGGAGAGACAGGTGTGCTGTCGGCTGAGTGGGCTAGAGATGGTACAGTAGATCGAAGGTGAGGCTTCAATCAAGAGAGGTGAAGGAGAGGTGACTTACATGGGGGAGGAAAGGGGAGAAAGGAAAGTAGCGAAGGGTGAATGTCATAAAGGCAGGGATGAGGTGGGAAGTGCCAGGAAGGGGAGATACAGTAGGACGTTGGGGAGCCAAAGAGATACTGTACCACTTCCTGGTTGTGTGACCTTAGGACCTTAACTTCTCCAATGTGTCTCATCTGTAAAATGGGGTAATAATCATCCCTAACTCAGTGAGTTGTTGTAATAAATTAGATAATGCATTTTAAGCACTTAATTGAGATCCAGGCATTCAGAGAGCATTTTAAAAACTTGCTAAAGCTCTTCTCCCTCCATGTAAGGTTTCCTCGTTTTCCGCCTTTGGATTTTCCTAAACTTCAACTGAGGTAACTCCAGGACATGGACTGTGGAGTCCCCACATGCTGTCTCCATCATACAGTCCACTCAGTAATTGGGGAATCCTGTGAAAATGGTAATGGCTATGGGTTTTCTTAAACTTCCCCAGCCTGTTACTTGTCAGCTTTGGTCATTTCTCCTCTGCCTGCCACATCTCCTTAATCTACTCTTGCCTCTCTGTTCTTGTGATGGAAACCCTTGGGGTATACTGAATGTGGGGAAACAGTCCACCAGAGCTGAAACACCAGAGATTTCACATTGGAGACAGCCTACTTCATTCACCGCCACAGGCCACGGTCACACTTTTTTTCTGGATGATTTTTTTAAATTTTAAATCTTTTTTAAAAAATATATTTCATTGATTTTTTACAGAGAGGAAGGGAGAGGGATAGAGAGTTAGAAACATCGATCAGCTGCCTCCTACACGCCCCCTACTGGGGATGTGCCCGCAACCAAGGTACATGCCCTTGACAGGAATCGTACCTGGGACCTTTCAGTTCGCAGGCTGACGCTCTATCCACTGAGCCAAACCGGTTCTGGCTCTGGACGATTTTAATAGCTCCCTGGCCAGTCTTCCTTTCTCCTTAGACTCTCTCCACCTTTCCTACGGTTTATCCCACACTATGTCAAGGTTAGCAGGACCTTCACAGGCTTCCGTTGCCCACTAAATGAGCTGCTAACCTTACTCTGCATCCCTCCCCCCCGCCCCCTTTTTAAACTCACCTGAGGATATTTTTCCCATTGAGTTTTGGAGAGAATGGAAGAGGGGGAAGGAGAGAGAGAGACACATTGATTGGTTGCCTCCAGAACTTGCCCTAACCAGGGCTGGGAATTGAACCCACTACCCAGTTACATGCCCCTGACCCAAAATTGAACCTGAGACCCTTTGATACTCGGGCCAACACTTTAACCACTGAGCCACACCGGCCAGAGCTTACCCTGCATTCTTGCATCTTCTGTCTTGAATGGTAATTATAGTTGATTTGTTCTTTTGGTCCCACTGGATAGAAAACTACTTCACAGCAAGACCCAACTGTTCAACATTCCACAAATATTTATTTGTTCTTTTGTTCTAAGCTCCATTCTAGATGCTGGGGATACATCAGAGAACCATCAAACAAAAATTCCTGCCCTCGGGGAGCTTACATTCTACCTGGGCAGGGGGAGGAGACAGACAATAAATTATAAAAATTATAATAAATAAATAAGTAAATTATATAGTATGTAGAAGATACTTACTATGTTAGTTTTAATTACTTTGGAATTTATTCATGTATCTACATATAAAAATAATCAAGAATTTTTTAAAAATTGTGTTCAGTTCTGTTTGTGAATTCCAGGGTTGGAAGGGCACGGGTCCTGAAGCCTAAGCATGAAGCAGGATGGAGCAGGTGCTAACCTTCAGGCCTCTTTTAGAACAGCAGGAGGTGAGGGCCTGTGCCGGGTCTCTAAGCTCCCGCCAGATGGTGGAAGGCCCAGACTTCGAGGGTATGACGGAGGAATCTGGGTCAGTTCTCTGGTTTGGCCACCAGGGGTCATTTTACACCTGTAAATCACCATCTGGACAGATCACATAGAGACACACAAAAGGTCCAGAGATACACACAGGAAAACCCTGACACTGGCAGGAGCGCGCGCGCGCGCGCGCGCGCACACACACACACACACACAGAAACATACAGCATTGAGAGAAAAGCATAGAAAAGCATGCAAGACCTAGGCATGCAACAACTCCCTCGCTAATTTCAGGGTCTCAAGATGTCCTAGTGCCAACTCTGCAACCCCTACCAGCTCCCGGCTCCGACTCCGGTAAAAAGGGAAGAAAGCAGTAGGTGGCCCATATACCAGTCTTCCATTTCCCTTGCCTCCCGCTTGCTAAGAACAGCCAGCCCGTTCCTGTCCTCCCATCACACTCTAACTTCCCTGTAAACTTCTTTCCTGGCTGTGGCACAGTTCCTGTTCCCTCCGGGGAAGCCCCACCCCCTCCTCCTGAGAGTGTGTGTGTGACCAGTTCCACCCCACCCCCATAGGGCTGCAGTTCCAGCAAGCCCAAGGCCATGGTCCATTTGGTGTGCAGCTCCTACTGTCCCACCCCCACCCCCACCCCCAAGCCTTAAGGGCTACAATTACTAATTGATTTGTTGAGCATTGCTCTCTTCCACAGCAATAAAAAGCACTCTGTATAATGCCCTGGGAAGAAGTTACACAAGAACTTTAATACTTTAGTATAGGTATAGTTCTCAAAGTGTGATCTGGGGACTGACTCTTTGAGAAGTCCATGAGGTCAAAGCTATTTTCATAATTCTATTGTCATTTGTTCTTTTCACTTTCATTCCATCACAAGTATACAGTGGGGTTTTCCAGAGGCTTCATGGCAGATACCATTGCTCTTCACAGCTAATGGAATGTGTGCCTATGTATTTCTGTTTTTTCAAATATGTTTTTTATTTATTTTAGAGAGGGAGAGGGAGAAAGAGAAACATCGATGTGTGAGAGAAACATGGATTTGGATTGGCTGCTTCCTGCACGCCCCCCTACTGGGAATCCAGACCAAAATCCTGGGGCTGTACCCTGATCAGGAATCGAACCAAGGACCTTTATGGTGCAGTGGCCAGATCTGTATGCTTTGAAAACTTAATTGAATTTCTAATATGGTAAGTATCAAAAGAACAAAGTATATGCAAAAGCTCTTTGTAATTCTCAATTTTTAAGGGTGTAAAGGATCTGAGACCAAAAAATTTGAGAACTGCTACTTTAGTACAAAGAATTGTTCCCTTATTCTAGATGAAGCCATGGGGACGAGGGGCAGGTGTGTGTGTGGCAGGAGTAGACTTAGGATCTAGAATGGAGGAGGTCTTGAAAGGGGGTTGGAACATGGGATAAGAAAAGACCTAGAAAGGGGAACAGGGACCAAGATTTTGGAGAAAAGAAAACCTTCTAACTCGCAGTTTTGCCCTGCCCCCCAACCACCCCATGATGGAGGTCAGGTCTAAATTATTACAAGTCTCGAAACAAGAAGGAAACCAGTTCTGTCTTATCCAATAAACTCTTGTATTGTGCCTCAATGCGGGGAGGGGAAGCCCAGGTGGGAATGAAATGTGGGTGGCATCTCTGGCCCTAAGACTGCTGTGGTCCGTCTAAAACCCAGACATCCATTTTTCTGCTACATCTACTAGCGCTGGGCAGTGTTTCAAGTCCCCCGCGAGGGCATTTCACCCATTCCTCTGCCCCTGTCTTGGCAGGCTCACAGCACCACCCCTTCCTACAGACAGGGGACGGGGTCTTCTTTTCTATGCTCATCATCACCACGAACTTAAAGAGGACATTCCCACCAGCACCCTCCCTTCCCCGTGCCCCTTGCTCCCACACTTTGCTCCTTCTGCATTTATGAGTTGGAGTCGCCACCCAGAAATCCAAGTGTCGGATCCACCGCCCTCCTGTGCGCACCCTGCAAGTTTTCCAGTGGGAGGGCCGCGAGGGGATGGAGGTGGGTGTAACCGGGCTAGGGCCCCATGATCGTTTAGAGGACAGAATCCTCGGGGATGGGCGTTCGGGGATAGGAATGCCTGATCAGTCCTTGGCTGGAGGCAGCAGGCCCGCTGGCGCGGGTGGTCCCCTGGGGCAGTTGGGCGAGCGTCCCTCCATCCCCGTTGGTGGCCGAGGTCCTGGTCCCGAGAGGAGAGCCCAGGCCGCGCAGGGTGTTGCGGAAGCCCTCGGCGCTGAAATAGTACACCAGCGGGTCGAGCACGCAGTTGGCGCCCGCCAGCAGCACCATCACCATCAGCACCC